TTTTAACGTACATTCCGTATCTTCCAGTGAACCACCATTAATTTTTGATCACAATTCCAAATTCATTCATCTTCATTCATTGTCGAGGAAAATCACGTTCCGGATCTTCCGATGGACCATTTCGTGACCTACTGAAGCCCACGTTTAGTCATTGGTCACAGAAAAGTCACCACGAAGTTATCTTTTCAAATGATATCCCAAAATCAGGGTTCCGTCGCAATGAGCTCAAATTTCATAAGATCCCAAGTAACATTATCGGTTTTATAAGGGTTCTATCAAGGGGTAAGGCACTCTGCCACTTTGTGTTAAACACAGCAAAAACACACTTCGACACACTTCAAACACCCTTCCTTCACATGAAAAGCTAATTGTTTTATCAATTTTGGCACCACTGCCAATAATGTTTACGTTCATGGATCAATTCATTTGTTGTTGTTTTTGAATCCAAAGGAGCCGGCGCCGGTGGTGTATTAGGAAGCTTGACTGCTTTGTCACCCCAATGGGCCTGGGTTCAATCCCAGCCGAGGTCGGTGGGATTCTTCCTTCGGAAGGAAAGTAAAGCCGTTGGTCCCGGCGCAGGTGTGGAAGCAACCTCCCTGCACATTCGATTGCCGTCAATGGTGGATTGTGGAACAGAGACCAACGTTAAATAAAGTAATTAAGAAGACGAAGAAGAAGAAGAAGATCCCAAAGGAGAGAGAACTACGGCGGTCGGTTTGTTGGATTGCACCGGACCTCGATGGGTAAACAGATTTGGAAGACGCTCTATTTCATGCAACATAATTCGGAGAAACGTCTAAGAATTGCCAATACACTTTTAATTCGAATCAAATAAAAATCCACGATAAAAGCAGGGGTAACAAGCGCAATCCACACACCATTCGAGTTTCTTCAAAGACTCAATTCCTTCAGATAGAACAGCGAATAATTCTCCGCCACCAGTGATTGCTGCTATTTTAGTGGCATTCCAAAGTCGTCAAACTAACGGTTGACGGGTCTCAGAATTTAACCTCTTCAGCGCGTTTGCCTCTGCTTTCCCTGAGTAGCTCTTTCCGGTCGTACGACTGTTTCTCTGAACTGTATAGAGGAAAATGGCACTGAAGATGTACAACAAGTCGGTGATATTGGCCGATGGAAGTTATCCGGTTCCACTCCAAAATCCGGTGCCACGGACTGTATTTGTTCAGCTCCGAATCCTCCTCGCACCGGTTGTGTTTATTAAATAACATCAGCGAAGGAGTCGCAGAGATATCTGTCATTTTCAGCGCTAGGGATGTTATGGTTGCCAGTAAGCATAATTTTTCGTTTGATGTTTTGACAGCTCGGTCGACCTGAAGAAACACCCTCGGACACCCAAAAACACACAAGGAACACAATCAGCACAGTCACAAAGTAGAGCAAAGTGACTTACCCCCTGGATGGATGTCGTTCTTATCTTGGTGAACTTATGTAAAATCCAGAACAACATGTGAAAAGGGCATACAAGCTTTTTGTAAACCAACCTTCTTATGCCCTTTTCTCGCCACCCATATGACACCAACGCAAACCTTTAACATCACCGGGTAGGGGACACTTTCCCCTTCCCGATGATATTGCTGGTTTGCGTGGGCGATCCGCGGTTGGTGAGAAAAGGGCCTGCAAAGGTTTGTTTACAAAAAGCTTGTATGCCCTTTTCACATGTTGTTCTGGAAATGGCAGTTCTAAGCCACCTTGAAGTAAAAAATCTCAACTGGTCATCCCGAGCAACTACGGCTAGCAGAGTTGGGTGTCCCTTATTCCGAGCAGAATCTCGGGTGACCGTCACAAGCCAAACACCAGTTAGTGGGCGTTCCATTCTTAGTTAACTCAAATGAAGCGGTCGTCCCGCTCCATCAAAATTACCACCACCAACTGAAAAGTAACATCCAAGCTTTCTCCAATCATAAAACAAACTCCTGCTTGATCTCCTCGCTTTTTTCAGCAGTAATTTTAGCCTTCAGGTCACCACGGTGGTCAGCTGAAGCTTAGCAGTTCGAAATCAAACCTCAACAAAAACAATAACAACAAACACTGCTTAAGTAGGGAAAGATACATAGCAATCCGTCCTTTCGATACAAGCAAAAACCATATGTTGTGAAAGCCAACAGCAGGAAAACATCCGAATCATCAACCGAATCAAACGCTCAAATCCATCACAAACTAATCCGCAGCGCCATCTACTCTAGCCTACAAAAGCAATGTAACGCCAATCGATCACCAATCGCATAGAAACTTCAGCCAGGACAGCAATGTAAACAAACCAAAACAAAACTCATCAGACAAGCATCTACTCAAAAAAAAAAAAAATTAAAATAACAGCAATAGTTGAATCGTAATTATTATTATTATTATTCTTGTTTTCTGCGAATTTTGTTTCTCATCATTATCGCCCCGAATTTAGCGACGGAAGTGACGATAGCGATAGCGAGGACGATGTTCGCAGTCTTCGGATAAGCTGGAGAGAGCGTTACCTGCGTAAACGCCGTAACAAGAAGAAGAGGAAGTAAACTCAACGCGTGTCGCGTACCGAAACCATATAATAAATCATGTGTCCCTCATCATCGCGAAAAACAAAACCGGAACACAGTACTGTCTGTCTATATGTGCGTCAAAATGGTTAAATTTTGAACTGAAACCGCACCGGCCATCTTTCTTTTCAATCCGTCATCATTATTCATTCGTTGCTAACCTACCCCTACAAACTACGGCTGTAGGATGCAGGCGGTTGAGCGAGTGAAGGAACGAACATGACGGAATGAATCAAAGAGATGGCAGTTGAGGTGATTTTTTTTATTTAATGACAGACATAACTAGCCATGACTTTTTTTTATAGAGAACACTGAATGAATTGTGTATCATAGAATATTTAGTGACAAACAACAAGGAAACCTAATTCTAATACCCTACTAGACGAAGAAACAAAACGATTAGTTTTATAATCAAAACCATTTTCCGATAGGTGGCAGTGTAAACGTACTAGGAAGAGCTGATATTGAATGTATTTTAATGGCAGATAAAAACAAACATGTAGGAAACCAAAAAGAAATCAGTATCTGTTGACAGACAGATTGACGTAAATATGCCTAGCGAGTAAGGAACTTTTTCTAAGAAACAAACAATTTTCTAAAAAAAAAAAACCAACAAACATTGAACAAAACAGATATCCTCTGAAAGAGTAATTCACACCAATCTAACTGCTAGTTACAATAGGGAACCCACATTGATGTTGAAACCAAACTAGCTGTCAGGCCAAGAGCAACTATTGGCGGAAAATCAGATAATACTCGACACATACTACGGATCTTTCAAAAAAACATTGTAAAATGAAACAGAATTGAACAACACACCATTATATTAACTTATGTATAACCTTCAAAGTTGTTTGACGAACCTATTATGATTGAGATCAGAACAACAACAACAACCAGCGCATATCTAGTTATTTAATTCGTAACCCTAATCTAGTCCAATTCGTGCTAACAAAACCACAGAAGATTACTTCGATTTAGTGAAACGAGCAAAACAAAACAAAACAAACAAAAAAAAATACGAGAGCCTATTTAACCGAACCAAGCCAAGCTCTCCTCTTCCCAATCAAAGAAAAGAAAAGCCCCCGAAAATGGTAACCAATCTCTCTACCCGCCCCCGCACCTGTAAAAAAAATATTATTTATGCTTCTTCTAATTGTTTGACAAATTCGATCGGTTGACATGCGGCGAGAGTGCAGCGGAACTTGTTAAGTTTTAAACTAGTTTATAAATGCTAAGTTTTTCCTTTAAGGCAACTTGTTCACACGGAAAAGTACATTCAAACTATTTATTACGGAAAGCGAACAACAATGCCCTATATTTATAAATGAAGATTCTATCAGAACAAATTTCCCTTATTCACCTTTGCTTAATTGGTGCGAGAAACGTAAGTCGAGCTTTTCAATTGTTGAACATTTTCCTGTTTTTGCAAACCTCCTTAACTATTTAATAAACAAACAAGAAAATCCTATTGGTAGTTCAATTTATCCCTAAACAACACATCTGTAACCTTTACTGTATAGTACTGCTTTCAACTTCTATTTCAATTTGTAACCGCAAAACGAAGGCATAATCGGAATACGAGATGATTTCAACGTGTCAAATCACCGACAAGAAGAAGAAAAAAAGAAGACCGCGGAAGAGGAAAACAGTTTTGTTTGTGAAGCATGAATGAAATTGAATTTCGTAGCCACTAAATTATAGGTTTTTTTTTAGTAGACTTAACAACCATCTTTTTAGAAGTTTTATTTATTCAAACAATTAAGAAAACTGAGATTCATTCGATAAACTGACAAATGGGAAATGAATAATATAAATATAAACACTTAACAATAACTAGTTATATCGAAAGAAAATGCAAAACAAAAAAAAACTGGCAAATAAAAGCATAAGTGACGAAAACTTGAACGGAACCTGGCTTGATTTGTCCGAGAAAGAAAAACTACCCCCACACAGGGACGGGACGAAACCGAGCAGTCCTTGACTCGAACCTCTTGCTGTCAAACACATCATCCTAACCTCACATTTTTTTTCTTCGTTCATGCATGTGCTCGGCGCTCTCGCGCGCGAATGTACGGACAGGGTTTCACCCTGTCCTCGGAACAATGCCGTCCCCATGGGAACCACTACCAAATAACGCCGATTCGCGCCGCCCGTCCTGCCCAGCATAAATCGATAAATCCGTATTGCCATGGCGCGGTCGGTCGGTTGTTCAAGGTTAGCTCTAGTCTAGATGGTATGGTAACTCGCTCTACTTCGCAGTTCTACGCCAGGTTTTGAAGAAGTAAGGATGAATCCGAAAGAACGCGCACTGCTCCCGTTCGCGCGGTTCCCGTTTATGCCATTATTGGCGTAAAAGTGAAAGTGACCTACTTTCGGCGACGAATTTCGGTCATCTTTGAACAGAAAGAATATATTTTTTTTTGGGTCTGGATTAAACAACGACACGAGGCCGGAATAGACGGAAACGAAAAGATGAACACCTCAAAATGGCTACCGAAGCAGCACCATGAAGTGGTCAAACTTTTCGATCAAGCCCGGGCCCAGGAGCGGGAATTCCGGGTGCTTGGAAAGAAGATGGCCACGGATATCAATCTGGATCTGCCGGATTACTATGTAAGTATGCGGGGAGGACTGATCTTTGGAAAAGAAGGAATGGTTTTTTTATCGAGAGTGCACTTGCAGTAGGTGGGAAATTATTGATTTTTTTTTCGCTTGCATAAACATAACCTTCAAGTGGCAATATGCTTTGGCGCAGGTAGTTGACGAGGCCGTCCGTATTGTGTTTTTTGTTTTACATAACTTTAAACATCAGTTAATTAAGTAGTGCAAATTTGAATGCAACACTACTTATATTCAGAAACATTAAAAATACATACGTTCAAAAAGGGTCAACACCAAATTGGGTCCAACTAATTTTAAAAATAGTATAGATGCTCCAAACGCCTACTGTCTTACCTGACTTATAATGAATATCCGGAGTGATTTGAGATTTTGACGTAATTGCTTTTGTAAACAAACACTTCAATCACCGATTTCTCGCGAATAAAAACTCAGCCTAGAAAGCTAACGACACAATCATGTAGAGGAATGATTCCTCTGTCATTTGGAATAGTTCGTTCGCGAGATTGAGATTTTATTCGCAAGCATTCACGTCCAAATCTCGAAGTCCTACGTTGCATTCAGGACAACGTATATTCGTTATAAGTCAGGTAACACAGTAGGGTTTTTTTAAATAGAACATTACATTATCTATAGAATATTAATGCATTCGGAAAAGTTCCCCCTAGCTTCGAAATTCACTCTCTACGTGATGCTCATTGAGAAATATTTGATGAATATTAATATCGAAATATCATACTGAGCATTCATAAGGGCCAATGTCACAAACGTAAACAATGGTCAGTGAGGATTTTAGGAACAAAAAGGATTAATTTGGCTGATCCATTGGTGAGTAGAGCCCAGTGCTGGAAATGGTCACCCCGTCACTGCATAAGTTTGAGCTACTATGACGACCATTGCAATATCGTCATCAAACGACGTGCGTCAAAACAAAAACTCGACAGTGAGCATGCATAAGGGCGTAAACACGATGATCGATTCTCTTCGTCGATTTTCTCTTTAGTAAATAACTCGCTAGAATTAACGTTTCTCGTTAAATGATAGCCAATACAACCTGTTACAACTCTGCATTGAACAAATTCTAGAAAATTGTTTCGCTTCGCTGCAGCAATGCAAAGAGAAAATCGACGAAGAGAATCGATCATCGCGTTTACGCCATTATGCATTCTCACTGTCGAACTGTACACTCAAAATAATTTTCACTTCAATGCTACGTGAAACCATACGTAGATTTTTTCCATCGTACTTTTCACGTAAGAACTATATGATTCTTATGTAGGGGCATTTCATGAAGCTTAAATGTCACAGGATTGTCACGTAGATACTGTCGATAGATTTCATTGTGGTTTCTTATACCATTATTTTAACTGCAGTTTGCTTTTTTTTAACTCTTTATTTGTTTCAAATTCAAAATAAATTACTTTTCATTTTAACCTAGGTGCTCCAGTTACTACAGTAACTTACCAGCCTTAATTGTTATGATATGTAGCTAAGTGTTTTTACATTGTTCCTGTCTTGGTAATTCAGTATTTTAAACAGGTTTTTTAAACCTGAATGTCAGTATAACAATTGATATCTTAAAACTAAAAACTAAAACTAAATCTACTTAAATAAGATTGGATTGATTGATTGAGGATTGCAACGATTTTTGCCTGAAATTATTAATTATTTTGTTGGACATTTGTTTTAAAGTCTCAACATTCGAAATTCTATGTACCTCAGTAGTACTGTACCAGAGAGGCAACTTCAAAATCATTTTCAGAACTTTGTTCTGAATCCTTTGAAGTGCTTTTTTCCTGGTAGTGCAACAACTAGACCATATTGGCACAGCGTAAAGCATCGCCGGTCTAAAAACTTGTTTAAATATTAGAAGTTTATTCGTCAGGCAAAGTTTGGATTTCCTGTTTATAAGAGGATACAAACATGTTATATATTTGTTACATTTGGCTTGAATGCCCTCAATGTGATCTTTAAAATTTAATTTTTGGTCAAGTATTAATCCAAGATATTTCACTTGGTTTGACCAGGAAATTGGAACTCCGTTCATAGTGACTATGTGACTACTACTAGGTTTCAAAAAGGAAGCTCTAGGCTTATGTGGAAATATTATAAGTTGAGTTTTGGAAGCGTTGGGAGAAATCTTCCATTTTTGTAAATAAGAAGAAAAAATATCTAAACTTTTCTGCAGTCTACTGCAAATAACACGAAGACTTCTTCCTTTAGCAGAAATGCCTGTGTCATCAGCGAACAAAGATTTGTGGCAACCCTGAGGCAAATCAGGGAGGTCCGAAGTGAAAATGTTATACAATATAGGTCCAAGAATGCTACCCTGAGGAACTCCTGCTCTAACAGGTAGTCGATTAGATTTGGAATTTTGATAATTCGACAGTGAGCATTCATAAGGGCGTATACGCGATGATCGATTCTCTTCATCGATTTTCTCTTTTCTTAATAACTCTCTAGATTTAACGTTTGTCGGTGCGTTTGTTGTTGCTTTTGAAAGCCAATACAACCTATTACAACTGTACATTGAACAAATTCTACAAAATTGTTTCGCTTAGCTGTAGCAATGCAAAGAGAAAAACGATGAAGAGAATCGATCATCGCGTATACGCCTTTATGCATGCTCACTGTCGAATTTACCTACAGAGTTCTGTCAGTTAAATAATTTTGGACTTATTTCATAATATAAAGTGGAAAATTAAACTTTTTCAATTTAGCAATCAAACCTTCATGCCAAACACTGTCGAATGCTTTTTCTATGTCTAGAAGAGCAACTCCAGTTGAGTGGCCTTCAGATTTGTTTGAACGAATTAAATTTGTACCTCTTAAGAGTTGATGAGTAGTTGAATGCCCATGGCGAAATCCAAACTGCTCATCTGCAAAAATTGAGTTCGTATTGACGTGAAGCATCATTCTATTTAAAATTATCTTTTCAAAAAGTTTACTTAGCAAACTTATTGGACGGTAGCTAGAAGCTTCAGCTGGATTTTTATCCGGCTTTAAAATTGGAACAACTTTTGCATTTTTTCATTTATCAGGAAAGTATGCCAAATGGTAACTTCGGTTAAATAATTTTACCAAGAAAGACAAGGTACTCTCTGGGAGTTTTTTGATGAGGATATAGAAAATTCCATCATCACCTGGAGCTTTCATATTTTGAAACTTTTTAGTTATAGACCTTACTTCGTCCAAATCAGTCCCCCCGGAATCATCAAAAATATTTTCCCGAGAGAAAATATTCAGAAAATCCCGAGCAACCTGATTCTCAATAGGACTAGTAAGACCCAAACTGAAATTATGAGAACTCTCGAATTGCTTAGCAAGTTTCTGAGCTTTTTCCAAATTTGTGATCAAAATTTTACCACCTTCTTTAAGCGCTGGAATAGGCTTTTGAGGTTTTTTTCAAATTTTTTGTGAGTTTCCAAAAGGGTTTGGGACTCGGGTCTAATTTAGAAACATTATTTTCGAAAGTTTTGTTCCTCAGGGCAGAGAATCGCTTTTTAATTTGTTTTTGCAAATCCCGCCAGATAACTTTCATGGCAGGATCGCGTGTTCTTTGATATTGTCTCCTACGGACATTTTTAAGACGGATCAAGAGCTGAAGATCGTCGTCTATTATAATTGAATCGAATTTAACCTCGCATTTTGGTACTGAGGCAGCTCTTGCTTCAACTATAGAAGTAGTCAGAGATTCAAGAGCATAATTAATTTCATCTTTGGTTTGCAAAGGAATGTTTGGATCGAAGTTATATTCCATAAATGTTCGATACTGCTCCCAATCAGCTCTATGGTAATTGAAAGTAGAGCTGTTGGGATTACAAATTATTTCTTGGGATATTTCAAAAGTTACTGGAAGGTGATCAGAACCGAAGTCAGCATGGGTAACCAATTGGCTACAAAGTTGACATGAATCAGTTAAGACCAAATCAATAGTTGAGGGATTTCTTGCAGAAGAAAAGCATGTTGGGCTGTTTGGATATTGAATAGTGTAATAACCTGCAGAACAATCATCAAACAGAATATTACCATTGGAATTGCTTTGAGCATTATTCCATGAGCGGTGTTTTGCATTAAAATCACCAATAATGAAGAATTTAGACCTATGACGGGTAAGTTTCTGAAGGTCACCCTTGAGAAAATTCTTTTGCTGGCCTACGCATTGGAATGGAAAAAAGGCAGCTATAAACGTAAGTTGTCCAAATTTTGTTTCAACTAAAACTCCCAAAGTTTCATAAACTTTGGTTTCAAATGAAGAAAGAATTCTATGTTTGATTCGTCTATGAACAATGATGACAACGCCACCACAGGGTCCATCAAGACGATCATTTCTATAAATTAAATAATTTGAGTCTTTCTTAACCTTATGGTCAGGTTTAAGAAACGTTTCAGTTATAACGGCAATATGCACGTTATGAACTCTCAAAAAGTTAAATAGTTCGTCTTCATTATCTTTAAGAGATCGAGCATTCCAATTTAAAATATTTAATGCTTTAAAATCCATTACTGAATTTTAAAGTCATGACAATATTATTTGCAAATTTTACCACAGTTTGAATAGCATCAAACATGGAGTTAGATTTAAGCATATCAGAAATCATGTCAATTAATGATTTTTGTAAAAATTCCATTTTAGGGGCAGTAATGCTTCCTAAGTCAAAATTGTCAAAATTTCCGTTAGAACGTTGGTTAGTATTTTGATTTCTACCCGTTGCAATAGCAACATAGGTAGCTCCATTAACTCGTTGAACATTGTTAGCAGCGAGGGGAGTAGGTACAGATAAAAAATTGAAGCAGGGGTGATATTTGTACCTACGGGTACGAATGTAGAATTTGTTCCTCGCTGACCGTTGTTAACAGCAGAGGAATTTGTACCTGGTCGGAAACGTGGAGCGTTTCCTACCTGACGGTTAGAACGAGATTGTAGGATCGCTTTGTGAGTCTTACGTTCCCAAAAATTGGATTTGTGGTTTTCACCACAATTTGAACATTTA